CCATCCTCCCCCAGCCCCACCCCCATAGGCCCCCAGTGCCCATGAGCCCAAGCCTCCAATCCCTAGGCAGCCCCCAGCTCACATGTACCCTGCTTCCCTATGGCAAGGATGCCAGCTACACACCAAACATGTGAGACCCCCTTGTGGTCTCCAGTTCTGATGTGCCCCCTTCCTCCAGGGCCCCCCCAGCCATCACAGCACATCTGTCTGGGACAGCAGCCATATGCTGAGCAGTGGCCCATTTTCCCATGCTCACTCAGCCCATGCACCCCCATGCCCTGCAGCACAACTCTGTGGGGGCACTGACCGGAGAGCAGGCAGGTGATGTGCCCAAGTGCCTTCCAACTGCCAGGTGGCCCCATGCCCCACAGCACTGCTCTGTATTGCTCCACACCCTCATGTAGTTGGGGAGGACCCTCTCTGTGCCCTGTGGCAAATCGCTAGCATTGCTGGGAGCTGAATGTTAACCTGCCCCATGTTTCTGCTCCTGCCCTGCCCATCTGCCCTTGGCCCTGTCCCTTGTTCCCTGCTGCTGCCAGGCCCCAGACCAGGTAGATGCCCTGCTGCAGTGGGAGCGCAAGGAGCTGCAGAAGCTGAAGGTCAGGCTGGAGGGGGATATGGCCATGTCAGAGAAACACCTCCAGGTGAGGCAGGGGCTGGGCTCTGGGGGGCACAGCACATGCAGGTGGCCTGTGAAAGGTGCTGGCACAGGGCGGGATGGGACACTGGTTCTGTAGGTGTTTGCCGTAGAGCGCTGTGTGTGTCAGGGGTGCAGCAGCGGGTACTGCTCTGTCCATCTGCCTAGTCTGCAGGTACCCGCCCTGCAGTGTGGTGCTCTGGGTGTAAGGGGTGTCAGGGAGGGTGCTGATCCAGGAAAACAGACCTTATGATGATAGACTGAGAGCCACGGGGCTCTGTAGCCTGGAAAAGCGCAGGTTCAGGGGTGATCTGATGGCCACCTATAAGTTTATCAGGGGTGACCACCAGTACCTGGGGGAACGTTTGTTCACCAGAGTGCCCCAAGGGATGACGAGGTTGAATGGTTATAAACTACTACAAGACCGTTTCAGCCTGGACATAAGGAAGAATTTCTTTACTGTCCGAGCCCCCAAGGTCTGGAACAGCCTGCCACCGGAGGTGGTTCAAGCACCTACATTGAACACCTTCAAGAGCAAATTGGATGCTTATCTTGCTGGGATCCTATGACCCCAGCTGACTTCCTGCCCTTTGGGCAGGGGGCTGGACTCGATGATCTTCTGAGGTCCCTTCCAGCCCTAACGTCTATGAAATCTATGAAATCCTCTGTCTCTCCAGCACAAGTTAGGCAGCACCAGTGCTCCCTGGTGTGTGTGTTTGGTGGGAAGAGAGTGCTGGCCCATCTATCTGTCTGTGGCATCAGTTCTCCCTGAGGTGTTGCATGCATGTGAGTGGTGACACCATGGATACTGGCCTGTCCATCTGTCTGTCCAGCTGGCACAGGGTGGTGTAGCTTCCTTGCTTCTTGGGTGGCTATGTGCATGAACAACAGGTGTTGGGGTGGACACTGTTCCAGTTGGCAGGCACTGGATAGATACTGGCATTCCTGTGGGTACACTGTGCATGCATGTGTGTGTTGGATGTACTCTGTGAGACACTCTGGGTGAGACTGTGGCAGTAGTGGGCACTGACTTATCCCTCTGCCAGATGCAGAGTCCAAAACTGCTCCTCATCACAGTTTGACTTTGCTGTCCCTGCATGTGGGGGCATTCTGGGGACAGACAGTGACTCCGGCTGTAGCTTCTGCTTTCACTCTGTGCATGATGGGCCCCAGGACCCGCTCCCTGGTGCACCTGGGGCTGAAGGAGATCAACCAAAGGGGCAAAATGTGCTCAGAAGAGGGTGCGGGGGAGAGGGCAAGGGAAAGAGGAGGCAGGTGGGTGAGAAAAGGCAGGAGATGGGGATAGAAAGAGAGAATGGTATTGTCAGGCAGTGGCAGAAGGAGAAACTTTGGGTTAGGGTGAGGTAGACGGGATAAAAGTTACCCCAGTGGAGGAGACCACCCGCAGGGGTTGCCAGACTGCCCCCTCCACAGGGCTGTGGGGTTAAAGGTCCAGGGCACCCCAGTGCCCAATGATGGCAGCTTTTTCTCTGGAAGTCAGAAGAATGTAACCCGTTTGCCCAGATCCTCATAGAAGCTCAAAGATTTGTCTTATCTGCTACTCTGAGTGCACAGGCTGTCGACTTAGCTGTAACTTGGTTTCGACCCATTTAATTCTGTATTCTTAAAGTTATTTTCATTCTTGTCCTTAGGGCCCCATTATTTACCCTGGCTAACACTGGGCAGGCCAATGTAATTTTTTTGCTATTTCATTGATGTACTTTATTGTTGCCAAACCTTTTGGCCTGGTGGGCCTGATGAGTTGGTACAGATTCAGTCTGTGGGCCAGATCTGGCCTATGGACTGCACAGGGCTGGGGCCACATCCTGGAGGCCATATCATATCCACAGCCTCAGCCCCAGCCCCAGCCCCACATGTGCCAGATCAGGCCTGCCAGTGCACCTCCAACCCTGACCCACACACACCAAACTGGGTCAGTTGCCCTGCCTCCAGCCCCACACACAGCAACTAAACCCCAGGCATGGGGACACTTCAGCTGGGCCGACAGGGCTTGGAAATATGGTGCTGGGGGAGCAGTGGCAATGTTAGCTTCCAGACCCTTGGGGAGCCCCGTGGGCTAGATCACATTGCTCCATGGGCTGGATCTGGCACACAAGCCAGGGGCTGAGCACTTCCAATGTATCTAATAGCAAATAATAATGGAAAACTTGAATTGATGTCAGCATCTTAAAAAATCCACCCTTACACTTTCCTCAGTTAGGACTCTGTCTCTGTCTCTAGCACCTGCATTGGCCTTCAGAGGTCCTGGCAGCAGACAGCAGCCACTGCCACCAGGCCACCAAAGCGTGTGCACACCTGCTTGTTTCCAGTGGCCTCACACAGTTCCACTGCCATGGCTGTGGCCTCCACAGAGTGAAGTGCCCTGTGGGGGGACACTGGCTGATGGTGGCACCAGGCAGAAGCAGGAGCCTCAACCCATCCAGCAGAGGCTGGGGAGGTTGGCTTCCAAAGGGGCCCTAAGCTTGGACACAGTCAGTTTTACCAGCAGAACTTGAACTGTACCCACAATACATGGTAGCACAGGTGAGGCCTCCAATCTTTTCCAGAACTGTGTTAGTCTTTGCCCCCTAGCATTAGCTTCTTGTTTGTGAGCCAATGACTTCAAAGCTGCCTAATTGCCTGGATTGCCATCCGAACGATTTCTGTTTCTCTTGATCTGCCAGACAGGATTGCTTGCTCAATCATTGTTTTGCTCTTCTCTCTGACACCCCCAGGCTTAATATCGTGGAAACTTCTACCGGTTTTTCAGGTATTGGGCTACCACCACACAGGAATACTCGCATTTCAGAATAAGAGCAGGTTTTGTTCCAGTATAGACCTTTCTAAATTAAAAGTTTAA